GTACTGTTTGCCTCACCGAGTAACTTTTTTACTGGGTTTTATGGTTAATCTGGAGCCTAAACACGTTACAGAACTACATTTTATACATTATCCAGATTATGGCAAGGCAGAGCATATAATCAGAGTGTTTGAAAGCAATTTATTTACGATATATAGAAGGACAGCGACACACTGTTTGCATCGCATACAGTTTGTGAGGATTACACGATCCACCGAGAGGCACAGCAAAGTGCTGCCTCATCGTGCATCTCCTCCATGTATTTGAACGGGACATACGGAAAATCTGCTATTCTTTATTGGAAAAAAAAAATCCTTCAACATCAGATTAGAACGGCAAAAGGGCCTACAACACACACCAGCCCACAAATATTAACATTTATTATATTTTATGGTTAAGTTTTTTTTTCTTTTCAAGATTGACAGGGGAGGCTCAATCTCAAAACATTTTAGACAGGCTCTGCCTCACCTGCCTCCCCTGACCGCATGTCACTGGTGGCATCTGGTTGGATGAGAGGAAGAAGCCTACATGACAAGAAGCCTAGAAAAACCATGGCAAAAAGGAACTACAGACCTTTTCACAGTTGCTTCTGGAGGCTCTGTCTGGTTGTTTTCTGAGTTCCAGAAGACTGAGAAACTACAGAGAAGCAAACTGAGAGGACACCTTGGTTTCCGCTCCCCCCCCCTACAGACCACCCTGTAATAGTAGTTTTATTTAGCGATAAGATAATCAAACAAGGATTGTTGATGATTTTGATATTTAGCTTTATTTCTTGCTTCCATGCTGTAACTCCTTTTAAATCTATATAAAATTTCTAAAAAGGTTAATCTCTCTCTCTCTCTTTATTGAGTCAGCTTCATTATTATTCTTATTCTTATGGGTTTAGAATGGTTTCAGGCCTTGTAAGTAGTGATGTGTAAAGCTGGATATGATGGTTATTACATAAACTACAATACAATTAGTGGTCAATAAAGAAAACACAGTGGTGACTGATTATTAAAATTAGACAATTTTCAGATAGATTCATCAGAAAACACTTTAAATTAGTCAGTTATTTACTCATTATATAATATACATTGTAACTCAAGCGTCCTATTTTGGGAAATTAACCAATGTGCAATGCAACCATTGTCATACGTGACCAGTATCATGGCTTTTGTGGGTTATTTCAAACTAAACTTAACACTTTGTTAAAGAACCAGAGAATACTGGTTCCTAAAACTTTCCCAGTAGAGTAACATGTGAGGGTATAAAGAGGGAGCTACCTATAACTGCAGGTTGTTATTGTTCAGGAGGATTTGGGGTCTTGTCCTGAATTAATGACATGAAAGAGGAAGGTCTGCAGGGAAGTCTGTTCACAGGTTCATGGTCGTCAATTACTGAGTGAATACCTCTGACAAAAACCTCAAGCAGTGTTTGGAGCTTTAATATGTTTCAGATATGCCACCTTAGTGTGAGAGGGGCTTTTGAACTGCTCTTAGTCTGACCCGTCACCCAGGACCTGTTTGCCTTGGGAGACCCTACCAGGGACATATAGCCCCCGACAACATAGCTCCTAGGATCACTCGGGTACTCAAACCCCTCCACCACAATAAGGTGGCGGTTCAAGGAGGGGACAGCTGACCAGTGTCATACAAAAGCTGACTGTTACTCTTGTTCTGGGTCGCTCACTCTGCAGGCTGCAGGACTTTCTGTATGACCGACTGAACTGTCTGCAAGAAATAAAACACACAAAGACAACTTGGTTGTTCACTCTTCATTTCTCCAGACTCATGTTAAAATTTCCATCACAGTGTTGAGTTGTTATTTGTTTGTTTACACATGATGTAGATGTAAATATTGTGAAGTTTTATGCCGTTCCTCTCAGCCAACCAGCACCGTCAACTGTAAACGTTCAGCCAAAGAGGAGTCACTTTCCTATCATGTTGTTATCAAGGAGGGAAGCAAGTGAACATTCAGTGCTGCCGCTCCGCTGTTCAGCTGAGTTATCCCAGCAGCCACTGCTGCAGTGAAAAGTCCTCACGGGGCCCAGAAACCATTTTCCACACAGACACGTCTGTAAAACTGAGGACAGAACATCTCAAACTGTAGACGAGATCAAATGCCGCTCGTTTTGTTGTGAATGTTTAATCCGTGGAGCTGTTAGATTTGTAAAACTTTCCCAAAGCATAAAAAATGGAGTTTTATTTTCTTGCCATCGTGACGATGTAAACACCAATGTGCATGTGACTCACACAGGTGAGCAGCTCTCGTCCAAGTGACTGGACACAAGGTATCATTCTGGGATCCAGGTTTTCCTTAACACATCCATGACCTGTAGGATCAGGAGTGTCCTTACCCGAGTCGTATACAGGAAGAATGAATAAACTGTTTGTATTTACAGCAGAAATCGTTGCTGTAACTTCAAGGTGACAGTGGATTGAAGAAGTGAGGCCTGAGAGAAGTCCCATTTGTTCAGACTCTATTTCAGTTTTTTATAGTTTAAATTCAAAAGCAACAATAAGAGATTGTTTACTGTATAAATACTGATGTTAATGCAGAGAATACAAACATCTGGAAGGGATGTAGCCTCCAGTTCTGGCTCATGTTGGTGTGGAGGGTAAGACTGGAAAGGCTGTGCTGAAATTAAACAATGATGAAATAATGAAAGTTCCATCTGGAAAAGGTGAAACCACAGCATTAAGAAGAAAGGCAGCGATGGACTCATGGCAGAAGAGGTGGGACACAGATATCAGGCTCCAGTATCTCTGCTGTCCTGGCCTCTCTCCACTGGGTCGTCTGAGGATCGTCTCCTCTCTCCACTGGGTCGTCTGAGGATCCGGTTTAAAAGCCTCTTGGCGGCTTTTAAGGGACCAAATGTCATAATGAAGTATAATAATGTTATGGTTTTGGACTTGCTTCCTGTTTGGTACTTTTATTTTGTAAGGGTTTCCTGTTTTGTGTCATCTCACCTGCCTCAGCTTTACTCTGGTCCTTGATTAATGCCTTCACCTGTCTCAAGCCTTTATATTCTCCCCACTTCCCTCAGTTCGATGCTGGTTCCTCTGCTCACCACACCCTGTCTCTTCCTGCAGGCTGTTTATGCCTCCAGTTTTGTTTCTGCCTAGTAACTCTTGGGTTCATCCTCCTGTCTCACATATACATAGACTTTGGACTTTCCTGTCATCTTGGTTTTTGCTTTGTTCCCTTGGGTTTTGAGAGTTAGTTTAGTTTTGTGTGTTTAGTTTATTGTTTAGTTCCCTGACTGAAATGTCTCATTGTAGTTTTCTGTAGACATCTTTGTTATGCTCATCAGGTTGGGCCCTGGTAGTTGTACTAATTGTCTCTCTGTCCAGTACTAATTATATTAAACTCTACAAAACACTAGTCCTGAGACTGTGTCTGCATTTGGGTCCTCCCCAGGCCAAGCCCTGACAAATGAATCTAGTTCACAGAGGAGTGTCTGATGTGATCAAATACAAGTCAGGACAAGGATGGAATCTGCAGGGGATTTTAGTGGTGGGTGAGAAGATACGGGAACGCTGCAGGGCTCGGTTGACTTTTCTCAAAGATACAAGATTGGAAAGTAAAATGCAGATGTTTGTTTTAATCCTGATGTCAGTGGTAAAGTATCCAAGTACATTTTTATATACAGTACTTAAGCACAGTTTGGAGGTACCTGTACTTGAATATGTTTATTTCGTGTTACTTAGTACTTCGACTCCATTTTACAAACATGACAGCATGGTCATAAAACTCTACTGATCTCTGCTACTTCAAATCTTAGACATTTATGCTTGTAAAAACTAGCTCCACCTTTACCAGCTGCAGCATTAAAGCTATGGACACAATAATGTATCACTGATCATCTTGTTTCTGTGCCTTTGCTGCTGTAGCTTTGTGAATTTACCCCATGTGGGACTAATAATGGTTCATCTTATCTTGTCTTATAGAGGGAAAAGTATTTTCAGGTAACAAAGTAAATGTTTTGACCAAAACTATTTTGTTTAGTACTTATACTATTGCAGAAGACTGAGATTATTTATATTCGATTAAAATGTAGCTTGTCAAGTTAACAGGTGAAATGTTTGTCCTGCTAGTCTCAAACCACTATTATAGCTAGTTAGACCTCTGAACAGTCTTACAACCATCCAACACACAACTGAGAACACTTTGTTGATTTTGATGATTTTACAGAATGTCAAGTGGAAAATAAAGACTGACAGATGATTGTCTGCCAGTGGTTTGAAAAAAAAAACATAAGTTTGGGTAAGCTGCTCATTGTGCAGTCTCTGTGCCCACACACAGACACACTCCTGACTCTGTGGCTGAGATCCACTTTCTGTTTGAATGAAAGTTGGTGCAGAGACTTGAATTGGTGCCATGTGTAATAAACAAAGGTGAGTATTTTGTATATAAATTTGAGAACTCTAGCTCAAAGATGTTGTAAGTTGCAGGTGCTGAAGCAAGAAGTGTTACAACCATACTCAGTCTCAATTCAATTTTATTTGTATAGCATCAAATCACAACAAAAGTCGTCTAAGGACACTTTACAAAGTAAGGTCTAGACCTTACTATTATTATTAGTAGTAGTAATATCATAGAGGAAAAAATCCAACAACCCCCGCTGAGCAGCACTTGGTTCAACGGGGAGGAAAAACTCCCTTTAGAGGAAGAAACCTCCGCCAGAGCCCGGCTCCTGGCGGGCGGCCACCGCTACATAAAGCCTTGCTATGACGTCCTCCGGGCACTAGGTGGCAGTGCACATCCCAATAAGCCGGTTTGCGAACTGCCATTGACACCAGGAGAGAAGAACGAGGGCGGGAAGCGCTGTTTGATGCTGACAGCAGCGTCATGGACGTGGAGATGGCGGAGGTTGATAGCGACCACAGACCGACACAAAGCGGGCAGAAGACGCACACGGAGGCCGGTGAACCTTCGTCTAAAAGCTCCGGCGGCGCGTACGAGCTGCCCTGGGTTGAGAAGTACCGACCGCTGAAGCTGAACGAGATCGTGGGGAACGAGGAGACGGTGAGCCGGCTGGAGGTGTTCGCCAGGGAGGGAAACGTCCCCAACATCATCATAGCAGGTGAGTTTGTGGAGAAACGCGGCGGCAGACACGGGTTTTATATCGTTACTGCACAGCGACAGTCTGTGGGCTTCCTCCCTGGGTCCAACACAACCACCGGGAGGTCCGTTAGAAACCAGACTAGCAAACTGGGAATGAGAGGAAAAGTCGCTGTTTAACAGAAAACCCGGTGTTAGGAGATAAAGTCACGGTTAAAGCCTCAAAGTCACTTTCAGGTTAGTGAACCTTTGCTTTATCTATGAAAAACGTCAGTTTCACCGTTTTCTCCACCCAGAAACCACCTGGTCTAAGCCAAAGACCAGCTCACTAAGAGGACAAATCTAAAACTGTGCCCTAAACTGTTGATCTGGTCCGGACTTGACAAGTCTCAGTGTTGTGTTCTGATCGAGACCCGGTCCGGTGTGACTGGATGGTGAAAGTAGTGATTCAGCCCTTTTGTGTGTCCACACATCTGTAATGGTAACTGGACTAACTTGTTAGTCACCTTCAGGTTTGACAGATGTAACTACGGTGCGGTGAACCCACACCTGTTGTTGTTGTTGTTGTCTGGGTGGAGAAACTACAGCGACATCACTTTGTTGGCATTAACAAAATAAAGGTTTCACTCATCTCTCAGTGGGTTTATACACAGTTAAGACTTGAACTACGATCTCTAACACCGTCGGTCGTTATGTTGTTGATAATATAAGGATTTAAGTTCAGGTTAACTTTCCTTGAACTGCAGGAGCAGTGAGTGTGAAGCAGCCTCAGTGTCATGTGTGTCTGCACCGTTTGATGAAAGTGGGTTTAGGCCCATTAGCCCTGCAGTGACCGGGTGCTGGTGCCATAGATTAACACACAACACTACAACCCCTTTAGACAAACAGGAGGCTTTCACTTATACAGCCATGAACAGTTGGCGTCTCTCTGTGAACTTCATCGGTGACTGATCCCAGACTGACCCCATGATGCTGAGGTCCAGGCTCTGTGGGTACCAAACCATCTGCTGCAGGACTCCATCCTTTGTGACTCTGGTGGAGGTCTAGACTCAGGGTGAATCTGAGACCGATCAGTTAGTACCGTGTGTTTTATAGGAAGGTTCCACAAAGAGGAACTTGTTTAAGGCCTGATCCCAGCCCTTAATGTCCTGGAATATGATTTATTGAAAGGAGTGGGACCTGGATTATGGACTTCCAGCTGCATTTCCATGGAAGAAATTCCTCCATTGAAGACCCAGTGAATGATTATTGGAAACACTATTGTTCATTTGTGTAGAGATGCACATCACCTTCAGCAGCTGATCACCGTTTTACCTCTGGTCACAACCAAATGATGTCCTACCTTAAAGCTTCTTGGGAGGTTATTTGGAGATGAACTGGACTTTATGGAGCACAAAGTAATGTGTTGATGAACCCCACCTTACTGAGGCATGTGTATGTGGAACGGAATGTGAGTTGTATTTGTGGGTGTGCACGGGGGCATTCTGAGCACATCAGTGATGAAATAAAAACAAGCCACTGTGTCTGTTGTGATCCAGGTCCTCCCGGCACAGGAAAGACCACCAGCATCTTGTGTTTAGCCCGAGCTCTGCTGGGAGCCTCCATGAAGGACGCCGTGCTGGAGCTGAACGCTTCCAACGACAGGTGAGACTCACCTGCAGCCACTGACCCTGTTTAGACTTGGTTTTAAAAAGCATCCTGAGTGATTGCATCACAAGTGGACGGCGCTAAATACAAGTGTAAACCACTGAGACAGACTGTGATGTGATCACTGAATCCACTTGCCAAGGCGGTCTGGGACACACGTGAACACGTATCATTTGTAGCGTAAACAGTAATGTGTCCTGATGCGTCTCTGACAGACATTTGAGGGAAATATGTCATTGATGCAGGACGTGGTAGTTGCTTTGGTGAGAGCACGCTAAGGCTCAACAAAAGAAAAGATGGAGAGGAACGTCCGATACAAACCCATCAGTGTGTTGTAAAGCTTTCACAGTGACGCCTGTCTTCTTCTTCTTTGGCCATGGAGGCCACTGCGCTCGTCTGGTCACAGACTGAAGTAGTGATTGTACCTGTGGCCTTTCGATACTTGAGCAGCAGTGAAAGTGGTCAGCTGGGCACCTTGGAGACGTGTGTATACTGAGAGGCATAAGTGGTGACGTGTCTCAGCTGTCCACGTGTGTCCGGATCACTGAGACTGATTCTGATCCCAAGTCTAAACGGGGCCGCTGTGATATAGAACAGCAAGTTAATGTCTGGTGTAACATGAGCTGCTGTGTCTGCAGGGGCATCGACGTGGTGAGGAACAAGATCAAGATGTTTGCTCAGCAGAAAGTCACCCTGCCCAAAGGACGACACAAGATCATCATCCTGGACGAGGCCGACAGGTGAGAGGACAGGAAGTGGGTTTTATTGATGTGATGCTGACGTTGTCTTAGACAGAACTGGAGGTTCCAGTGCTGCTCTGTGGCTTTTAGGTCAAGTATAGTAAGATTCATTTACATTTGGCCTTCAGCTGTTTTGTCTCCACATCAGTAAAGTTTAGGGATTTACATGAGACAGTCTGAAAAATCTGATCAGCTGAGTGGGAGATTTCCTGACGTCAGGGTTTCCCTTGGGAACTGTTAGAGATGATGTGCACCGTTGTAACCAGCAGCTCAGTACAAACCTGAACTTAGACAGAAAACAGAAATACTCACGCAGAAGCACTTTATTCCATAAACATTTGCTGCAGTTGAAGACACCTCGGCAGTTTTGTCAGCTACAACACAAACTTTGACCTTGTGTGGTGCAGAATGTGTCCAGCCCGTGGTGATCGGACTGACTTCAGGTGGCGTCTGACCTGTAGCTGTTTGTCTCGTGGCTGTGACTGACTGAGCTCTTTGTCTTTTCCCCTCTGAAACTTTATTCCTCAGACATTCAGTGTGTTTCTATGCACTTTAGTACTCAGACTGCTCAGAGAGACCAGAGGCCTGTTTCACAATACCTAGATAGTGGATTACACTGGGATTTCCCCAGTTATCCTGGCTGAACTTAGTCTTTGTGAAACGAATTCAGCCAGGATGGACTTTGTAGACTAGGTCAAGCATCACTTGGTCTTGTTGTCTTGGATTTCTTAATTCTGCTTCTGTGAAATACCCTCACATTATGTTACTGTAAGTCTGCATGTAGCTGTTCAGTAGGTTCTTCTGGAAGCCTGGCTTGTTGCTGTAGTAGTGAGACGTTGTCTCCAGCCAGAGTCCTGAGAACAGGCAGAGTAGTAAGTAGTCAGATGTTCAGGGTGGAGCCAACTGGTTTGGGCCTACAGACGCCGCTGTGTGTTAGCCTCAGTTTTACTCTGACTCTGGATGGAATTACTTTAAATATAAATTAGAATGAAGACAAAGTACTAAGAGTAAAGTAGTCGTTATGTAAATGGAACGTTCCTGTTGATCATATTATTTATGCAGCTGGTAAAGGAGGAGCTAGTTTTAACCAGCTTTGAAATACTGCTGGGTGGCTTGTGACCTTTCCACCATAGATCCATGAGTTTTTATAATTACACTGTATTTTTTGTATTATTTATGAAAAGTAACTAGTAGCTAAATTTATAAAATGTAGTGAAGTAACAGAAAATGAAAATACCCAAGTACACATCTCAGTTGTACTTGAGTAAATGTACTTTTAGTGATTAATCACAAGTTAATTAAGGACAGTCATGTGAAAGTATTTGACAGCACAGATACTGGACTTCCCATAATGCAGCTAAATGGCGTGTGGTTGTTGGTCCATTCCTGCCCGGTGAGCACTCGTCCTTTAATCTCCACACCTGTAGTTTTATGGTGTAAATCTGTAGTTGTTCAAACCTGAGATGAGACGTGTTCAAAGATCCTGTCCCACCAAAGAGACAAGTTACAGTTCAAGTAAAGCTTTAATGTCCCCAGACAGACAGACAGACACCAGTCAGTAAACTAGAACACACAGGAAATACAACTACTCAAAAACAGTCCACAGCACAGTCAGTAACCAGGTAAGAAGCTGATGGAATGTAAACTGAACTGTTGACAGGCTGAGGGGTGCTCCTCAGGAAGGGGCTGTTTTCTTCAGACACCCCTAACATCTCCATGTCCCCCACCCCACCCCAGTATGACAGACGGGGCTCAGCAGGCTCTGAGGAGGATCATGGAGATCTACTCGAAGACGACGCGCTTCGCCCTCGCCTGCAACGCCTCAGATAAGATCATTGAGCCGATCCAGTCTCGCTGCGCTGTGCTGCGTTACTCCAAACTGACGGATGGACAGATCCTCGCCCGGCTGCAGGAGGTGGTGGAGAAGGAGGGTCTGACTGTGTCTGACGACGGGCTGGAGGCCGTCATTTTCACCGCCCAGGGAGACATGAGACAGGTGGGGTGGAGAGTCCAGCGCTCAGCTCGGGGGCACAGGGTTGTTTGTGCTGACTTCCTGTTTGTTTGCAGGCGCTGAACAACCTGCAGTCCACCCACTCCGGCTTCGGCTACATCAACAGCGAGAACGTATTCAAAGTGTGCGACGAGCCCCACCCGCTGCTGGTGAAAGGCATGCTGGGACACTGTGTAGATGGGAACATCGATGAGGCCTACAAGGTGGTGGAGCGGCTGTGGGCGCTGGGCTACTCTCCAGAGGACATCATCGGAAACGTCTTCAGGGTGTGCAAGACCTACCCGATGGCCGAGTACCTCAAACTGGAGTTCATCAAGGTGAGGCAGAGCTCCGCCCCCAGCAGGCTTCAACAGCACACCTGTGCACCTACAGCCCTGGTTAACGTCTAAAGGACGTTTAAGTCCAGGGTTTCTACAGGGTCAGCAGATGACCTTTCAGATTTGTGATGTCATGTAATACTAGATTGTCTCACAGAATAAAAGGCAACAGGAACCAGATGAGCGACTATTAGTTGTGTTTTTTAGTGATTCCCAGCGCCGTGTATCGCTGACGCCTATTGTGATGACCTGAAGTAATGGACCCTGCACACGGTGCAGAACATGGACGGATTAACTGGCTTTAAGTTATTTTTACAGCCGCATCGGTCAGTTAGTCCATGTAACGGAAAATTAACAATTCTGATTCGCTGTTTGACATTTTAAGTTAAAATCTGAAACATTTGCTGGTTTTAGCTTCAAAATGTAAAAGATTGGCTGCTGCTTTGTTTCTGGACGAGGGCAGTGGACGGAGCGATTCTTTAGGTTATGACGGGTAATACTGTCAACCCGGTGTCAACGGTGGTATTTCTAAAATAAATATAAAAGTAACTGTCAGTTAGGTAGATGAAATACTTTTCCACAGTGGAATCAGGTTTAAAGTTCAAGACAATCTACTGTCAAGTTCTTTAGTTCAATAAAGGCACGATTTTCTACAGACAATGACTAATTGTGCTAAATAACTGATTTCTATGATCAGGATTATGATTTCTGCCATAGTTGTGCAGCACTAATTAGCAGCAGCAGGAAGAACCAAAGTTCAGGGAAAAGTCTTTGTTATATGAAAGAAAGTGGCCAATATCAGAAAGTGACATTTTAAATCCTCACATTCTGCCATGGATTTTAAAAGGCCTGTATCAGGTGGGCTCTACATTTTACTTTAAAACTTTAGTTCAATATTTGCCAGTTACAGAAAAAACCTTCAACCACAGAATCTTAAAAAGTCAGGACCCTTTTTTATTTAACAGTGGCCCTAATCCTCTTTGTAAAGGGACAATTCTAACTTTAGGGCAAGAATTGTCAGTTAAAGGGCAGAAATGTGGAGAAACCTGTAACTATGAGCATGATAAATAACATTAGTAACAGTTAACTAGAAAATCACAGGCCTGTCTACAACCTGCTTTAGAGAACTTGAACATGCTTCTCTGGAGCCACTACGACACAAACAGCCAGGTTTCCACATTGAACCATTTCCTGGGTGGATCAACTGTTCAGCACCAACTTGCCCAGAAACCAAACAGCAGCAGTGTCCGAACTCCAGCTCCAACACAGATTGTTACTGATCCAATTTCACTCTAAAACAGTTTGCATTTCCCAGAACGCGGAACTGTTCCTTTAACCTCCGAGTTAACCAATCCCAGTCCTGGTCCCTCCACAGCACACCAGTAACAGTGGAGTCCAAACTTCCTAACTCATATTTCTCTCTCTCTCTCTCTCTCTCTCTCTCCTGCAGGAGATTGGTTATACTCACATGCGGGTGGCTGAAGGCGTGAACTCATTGCTGCAGATGGCCGGTCTGCTGGGGCGACTCTGCAGTAAGACGGCGCCCCCTGCTGCCAGCTGAGCTCCTGCTGCCTCCTCCTCACACTGCTGGACTGTGCTCAAAGATCACGCACTGGTTTAATGTGACTGCGCCCGTTTCAACCAGACATCGCAGCAAAATAATGTAAAACTTGTCACTGTGTCTTTTGTAATAAATCACCTGTCGCTGACTAAATGGACTGTATTTTATATAGTGCCTATTCTAACAGTGTGTTGCACTGGCCAAAGCGCTTTAGAGGAGATCATACACCATTCACACACTGATGACGATAAGGCTGCCACACAACGGTGCTAGTCAAGCCACCGGGAGCTCGGGGTTCAGG